AATGAATAGTTAGCCTAGCTAGAATTAGATTGAGGGATTCCTTCCTCAAATTCCTAAGCATACCTATCTCAAAAGGGGCTTTGAAGGGACTTGGTCTCACTCTTTCTCCTTGCCATTATCTCCTCCCCTTCTGAATATTTAGCAATGTGATATCTGTGAGGGATAAAGTAACTTCCTCTTTAAAGGTATTTTGATTGCCCTGGATTTATTGCCCTGTTTTGGCCATGTGGTCTTTCTCAATTTTGGCCTCTCTCTTCCTCTGCTTCCTTTGAGTAAGGATGCATCTTGCCTTTCTCCAAGCAAGATGTAGCTGCATGGATATTTTCTTATTTCTATCCTCCTTTCTTTTCTTAGAAGATAGCTTAGCAAGCTAGTTAGGTCCAAGAACCTTTTCTATCCAGAATGGATTTCTTTTGAATTTAATAAATATATATTTTTGAATCTATGAAATTGTGGCTCCTGCAATCCTGTGCCATCCTGTTGAATGGAGACTAATTCTTGCTCACTTCACGTAAGCTTCTGCTGCTTATGAACTGTACTTCTGGCACTCTGCTATATTTTTGTGGAATCACCCCCAGTGAGGGTTATTTTTGAGCCTGACAACTCTGATTCCCATTACATATAACCTGGAATATCAAGGCAGCAAAAACCAACAATAATATCTGCTTTGAACTGGGTTATCTGAATCCATATTCCTGTTCAAAGCACAAAATGTGGGGTTTTATTCAGCTGTGTGGAAGGGGCCAGAGTCTCGTCATCCAGCACAATCTTTTGTTTCACTTTGGAATATTTTATCATAGGGTTGTCAAACAAAAAATATATTGCTGGAGCCTCTTTCTGAGAAGTACAAATAAGTGTCAGCTATGGTGGCAAAACCATTATATCTGGGAGATTCTCTGCCATTGTCACCCCCTATTACTGCTGCTGCTAAGTAGCTGTTTGGCAAATTTAGTCTGTTTCCTCAGCAAAAGCCCATCTGATGCCAAGATTTTACCAGCAGCAATGTTATCAGAAGCATGGCCCCTTGTCTGCAACCTCACCATCATGGAAAGCTAGTGGGAACACAGGTCTACCCAGAGGATGATGTCTGAATCCAGGGCAAAAGGCTCAGGCATTTTTATTTGCCATCAAGTTTGAGTTAACGCAACTCTTGGTATGAAAGTCCTCCAAGAGATTCTGGTATTCACTGCTCAAGACTAGAGGTGCTCACATCCCTGAACAACACAGCAACCTCATTAGTTTTCTTAATTTCTTGAGAATGGAGAGGGGATGAATCTAACTGGGGTTTTTTTTCTATTGACAAGCTGCAGTTGGAGCGCACTCTGAGAACCAAAAAGCTGGTGGGGCACAGCTAGGAGAGGGGAGTGGAGGGGGAGACTCATTTCATGATCATCTTAAGCCTGACACTTACATCCAAGACCCCAATTCAAATCTGTCAAATTGCCACCCCCCCACTCCCCCACTCCCCCACCCCCCGCCGGCCCGTTATCAGGGATATCCCTTATTGGTGGTCCAGAGTGATTGTCCCCTATTGGACTGGCAAAGCCCTTTTTGTAACAGATGTCTCCTATTTATGAGTTGGAAATGCCAAATAATAATAATTATCATCATCATCAACAACAACTTTAATGTGTTGTTGAAGGCTTTCATGGCTGGAATCACTAGGTTGTTGTGAGTTTTCTAGGTTGTATGGCCATGTTCCAGAAGCATTTTCTCCTGTCCATTCATCTGCATCTATGGCAGGCATCCTCAGAGGTTGTGAGGTCTGTTAGAATCTAGGAAAATGGCCATGAAATGCTAATCGAGGTGGCCAATTGACATGTGATCATGTATGCAATTCATTTTAGTATCCCTGTTACCAGAGTGATCTGAGGCAGCTTATATTTAGGGCCTCATGAAAAGGCACTAAATTGTATTTTTACTGTATCATAACAGTAAATAAAGAACAACACTCAAAAACAGGGGGATTCCAGACAAGAAACAATCAGGGCCAACTAATCACCTCCCAACAAAGGATTCCCCCAAGCAGTAAGAAGCTAGACCTTGAAAACTGCTAGGACATTAAATGCTAATCAAGGTGGCCAATTGCTACATTCACACCTACCTCAAATAGACAAGAGTTCTTTCTGCCACCCTGGACATTGCCTAGTTTCCAACAGACCTCAAAACCTCTGAGGATGCCTGCCAGAGATGCAGGCAAAATGTCAGGAGAGAATGCTTCTGGAACATGGCCATACAGCCCGCAAAACTCACAAAAACCCAATAAAACTTTATTTATACCCCACCACCATCTCCCAGAGGGACTCAGGGCGGCTCACAAGGACTCAAGAGTGCAAACACACAAAATACAAAAAGTGCAAAGACAATAACACAAAGGCAATGAACAACCAAAATAAAAATGTCTTTATAAAGAAATAAATGTGTGCATCGTGTCAATTTACAAATACGGACAACCCTTTAATTCTTGCATGGGGAAGTTAACAGAGATCAATACTTCCTTTCAGTACTGAGATAGAGCAGAGAGTTGTTAATGCAAGTCAAGCATCCTTCATCCAAAAAAGTACAGAACCAGAAATTATTTGAATTTTGGATACTTTTTTGTGGCTTTTGGAATACCAGCATTTGCATATACATATACCATCATGAGATATCTTGGAGATGGGACCCAATAAAACTATCAGATGTTCCATATACCATTTATATCAGGCATGGGCAAGCTTGAGCCCTCCAGGTGTTTTGGACTTCAACTCCTACAATTCCTAACAGCCTGTTAGGAATTGTGGTAGTTGAAGTCCAAAACACCTGGAGGGCCAAAGTTTGCCCATGCCTGGTTTTATACATATAGCTGAAAGTAATTTTAGACACATTTCAAATTATTCTGGGCATGAATACATATGAATATTGAATCCCCAGAAAGCAAAGGTGTCACTGTCTCGGCTACCCATGGGGGCAATTTTGAAATGCCTGATAAAGGAGTGTTCAACCTGTGGCTACTTCCCAACTGCGTCTGGACTTTTGACTGTCCTTTGGAAACCTGGAAACCTTGGCCTTTAGGCCCTCATGGACCGCCTGGCAAGCTCAGGAGAAGCCTTTCCACTAGCCAAGGCGTGCCAGCTCCTAGCCACCAACCTCTGTAGATTCTCAGGTGACAGGAGGAGGAAAGCGAGCAACTTCTCTGGCTTTGGAGAGGTCTTGAGTGTTCTCCAAAGCCGCAGGAGGAGCCAATGACTCTTGCCCTCCTGCGACCTAAGAATCAGAACTCAAAAGAAGGCAACCAGGATCTAGGCAAGGATGGGGAGTGGGGCTACTGTCTACCATTCACTTCCCATCCCACTCAAGACCTGACCCACCCCATAGTTAGCTGGTCTCAGTGAGGCAAGCTTCAGGCTTTCTCTCCGGCATCAGTCCCCCCTACCCCCACCCATACACACACACACCAGGCATGGGCAAACTTGGACCCTCCCTCCAGGTGTTTTGGACTCCAACTCCCACCATTCCTAACAGCCTCAGGCCCCTTCCTTTTCCCCCTCAGCGGCTGAGGGGGGAAAGGAAAGGGCCTGAGGCTGTTAGGAATGGTGGGAGTTGGAGTCCAAAACACCTGGAGGGAGGGTCCAAGTTTGCCCATGCCTAACTTACACCCACAAAACCTATTTCCAGAGTTTGGAAACGTTTTCTTTTTCTTCCTGTTGGACTACAAATCTCAGAACCCACCACACAGAGCCTCCATGAGGAAACTTTCCCAAAACGCTTCCCAGAAGTAAATGCTTGAAGCGGCTCAGCTTTTCCCTCTCGGGTAAAATGACACGTGCGATAGATGTCGGTGAAACACAAGGAGGAAGGGAAGCGATCCGGATTTCGAGCTGGCGATTCCACGAGGGCGCATTTGCTTAGGGAAAAGTGATGCCCGAAAAGGAAAAGGGATGGGGCTGGAAGCTTAGAGCATTGCGGTTCCCTCTCGACTCTGGGACTGGGAGTTCCCCAAAGGACCGCTCATCTCCGGGTCGGAGGAGAGAGGTGTTGTACTCTGACCGCGGATTCTGAGACTTGCGTCTCTCCCAAACCTGTCCTCCCTGCTTTGCTTCCAAGTTAAGGAAGTTGATGGGTGGCAGGGAGGGGACTCTTTGGCCTCCCGAATAGCTAAGTCCAATCCCGCTCAGTTTAAGGAGAAGGAATGATGGAAAGCAGAGCGGGATCCACTCATCCCACGTCATTAGTGAAAGGGTTTGCAAGGACACGCGTGGCACCCTTCTTAACTCACCTCACACCCTACAGGGCCGAGGGTTGTCAAGGCGTGCATGGTGCCCTCGCACCTTCCGCCCCACGTCCCGCGTGGGAATAGGCTGCAAGGACACGCGTGCTCACATATTCCACCCCCCAAAGAACTCCCCCCACCTGAGTCCACGGATATGAAAGCCCACCCTGCATAGCCGACCTAACCATCTCCCCCTCTATCCAATTCCGCTGCCCCGCGTAAAAGTGGTTCGCATTTCACGCTCAATCTACCAGACGTGGGAGGGAACAGCGAGGACACGCGTGGGTTCCTCCTCTATCAACCCCACCCCGTAGTCTTTGTAAAAGACACGCGTGAAGCCCCTCACAATCCACGTCACGGTCGTGCGTGAGATGGGTCTGTCCGCACACGCGTGGCATCCCACTGAATCCACTTTACATCCCGCGTGGCGAGGAGGAGAGGGTGTTTGCACTGAAGAGGTGTGGCTCACTTCGCAATTTACCCCCCTGTCCCCGCGTGGGTTGCAAAAACACGCGTGGGCACCTTTTCTATCCACAACCTGTCCCGCGTGGGAGGGGTTTGCCAAGGCAACTCATCCCACGTCCGGCTGGGCGGGGATTGAAAGGACACGCGTGGGGTCTTGTTCTGACCCTCGCGCGTGGGAGTGGGTGGCCCCTTCAGCCTCGTCTCCCACCTGCTCCATGTCAAGTCAAGCCCAAAGAGAGGCAAAATAAAGAGAGAGAAGAAGAAGGCAGAGAGGGCGCCCTACCTGGATGCAACATACTTTGGAAATAGAAGATGACCAGGGCGAAGGATCCCAAGCAAGTGACCAGCACCATCCGACAAATCCGGTTCATCCTCATTACTTCCAGCAGCGCCGGCTTCATGGCTTTGTCCCGGCGTGGATGGGGAGGGGGGTGGCGCTGGAGGAGGGAGGCAGAGGGAATGCTGCCGGCTGCCTGCCTCTCTCCCGCCGCACTTCTCCCGGCTTCAGTCGGAGGAGCGGCTGCAAGAGCAGCAGGCGCCGCCGTCTCCTCCTGCCCTCCTCCTCCTCCTCCTGCCTGCCTTCCTCCCTCCGCCTCCGCCGCCGCTCTGGAGGAGGAGGATGATGCTTCGGGTAGCAGCTCCCAAGCGCTACTTCATTTGCCTTGCCAGAAGCCCAGGGACCAACCCGGGCTGGAAGGTACCATTCCACCCTCTCCTGGCGGGGGGGAAAGCGGGGAGGGATGCGCCTGCGCAGAAAGCGGAATCAGAGCGGAGACCCTTCGCACGCGGCGCGCCACACCCTCCTGGAGGAACTTGGTGCCGTCCAGCTGTTCCCCCTGAGCGAGCCGACGCTTTCTTCGCGGTCCTAAAGCCGCCTTTTTCTACTGCCTTGACGGCTGCATCTATGCTGTAGTAGTGTAGAACTCATGCAGCTGGCAGGCCTGTAGCGAGGGGGTGGTTTTAGGGGTTCAACCCCCCCCCCCCGAAATGTTTCAGATTTTTTAAAAAAACCTGGTTTACTCATGAATTTTAACTGGTTAACCAAATCCCCATGCTAAGTCTATGAGATGCAAAAAATTAAGAGTCCCTCCAGAACTGCAAGCACTATCTCAGGCAAATATTGACAATTTATTCACACTGTCATTACTTGCAGCAATAGCCGATGTAGTGAAGCAACCAAGTTGGGTGTGTGTGTTGAATGCTCTCATTAAGGAGGCCAGACTTGGTGGAGGTGGTTGACAGGGGCGGAGCTGCAGGCTATTGAAGGCTGCTCTGCCCCCTGCTGTGCTCTTTGCTTCAGCGTGAGCTAGGAGGCAGGTTTCAACCCCCCCCCAAATTTTCAACCCTCCCCGAAATTTTCAAACCCCCCCCCAAATTTTCAACCCCCCCCCCCCCAAATTGTCAACCCTCCCCGAATTTTTTTTCTGGCTACGGCCCTGGTGATAGTATGTATTCTATACTGGGCAGGCCCGTAGCCAGGATTTTGTTGGTTTTTTTGGGGGTGGGGGGGCTGAGTCTGAGTGAAAGAGGGTCTACCTAGCAAACCTTTTGTATCATTACCCCAATACCCCCATGCATATGGGATATATTGAGTATGGTGATCAGATCATGATATCAATAAACATAACAGTTTAAATAATGCACCAGTAAGGCCTTTTCGAACCACCATGAGAATTTGGGGGGGGGGCTGAAGCCCCTCAAGCCCCCCCCCCCCCCCCCCCCCCCCCCCCCCCCCCCCCCCCCCCCCCCCCCCCCCCCCCCCCCCCCACCCCCCCCCCCCCCCCCCCGCTACATGCCTGGATGGAATAATGTGAACCGCAGTTTTATTATAGTGTAAATATAATATAGGCAGAACGGCACTACCTAAAAGAATCCCAAACCTTGTGTGACTGTAGAGCAGAACAGACCATTCCGCATCTGTATGCTTGTCCACTCTGCCCTGCCTCATGTACAGAGGAGGAATTGTTGGAGGCTACAGACAATGCCGTTGCTGTTGCCCGTTTTTGGTAAAAATATATTTAGCCACCTTATATTTTAATCAGTTTTATACTAATTTATGAAATGCTTTTGATACGAAATAAATAAATTATAGTGTAGATGCACATATATTCATACATCCTGTGGACCAGGGCTCTGTCTACACCAGGCATGAGCAAACTTGGGCCCTCCAGGTGTTTTGAACTTCAACTCCCACTATCCCTGACAGCCTCAGGTCCTTTCCTTTTCCTCTTCCCCCTTAAGGCAACACTTCCATTCGTAAACAGATATCCTTTTTATTGAGATTGTATAAATGCTTAGAACATGGAAGGGCTTGGTCATGTGTCTAGTGGCAAACTAATTTGTTTGAATTAAAGTTACATCTTCCTCTAAAGCAGTGATTCTTAACCTTCCTAATGCTGCAACCCCTTAATACATTTCCTGATGTTGTGATGAGCCCCAAACCATAACATTATTTTTGCTGCTACTTCATAACTGTAATTTTGCCACTGTTATGAATCATAGCGTAAATATCTGCTATGCAGGGTGCATTTTCATTCACTGGACCAAATTTGATGCTAATACACGAGACTCCCAAATATGAATACTGGTGGGGTTAGTGGAGGGTTGATTTTGTCATTTGGGAGTTGTAGTTGCTGGCATTTATAGTTCACCTGCAATCAAAGAGCATTCTGAACTCCACTGACGATGGAATTGAACCAAATTTGGCACACAAAATTCCCATGACCAACAAAAAATACTGGAAAGGTTTGGTGGGCATTGATCTATAATTTTAGAGTTGTAGTTCACCTATATCTAGAGATCACTGTGGCCTAAAAAATGATGGATCTGGACCAAACATGGCACAAAAACTCAATATGCCCAAATGTGAACACTGGTGGGATTTGCGGAAAACAGACCTTGACATTTGGGAGTTGTAGCTGCTGGGATTTATAGTTCACCTACAATCAAAGAGCATTCTGAACCTACCAATGATAGAATTGGGCCAAACTTCCCACACAGAGCCCCCATGACCAACAGAAATACTGTGTTTGTTGATGGTCTTTAGCAACCTCTCTGACACCCCCTCACGACCCCCCCCAGAGATCCCAACCCCCAGGTTTTCTGGTTTTCTGATGGTCATTGGAGACCTCTTTGACATCCCCTCATTACCCCCCCCCCAGGGGTCCCGACTCCCAGGTTAAGAACCAATGCAGCTGGAGACCACTGTTACTGCCATGGCTCAATGCTATGAATAATGGTAACTGCAGTTTTATAAGGTCTATAGTGTAGATACACTACATCTCAAGATCAGGCTCTCTCTACACTAGGCATAGGCAAACTTGGGCCCTGCAGGTGTTTTGGACTTCAACTCCCACCATTCCTAACAGCCTCAGGCCCCTTCCTTTTCCCCCTCAGCCGTTAAGAGCTGAGGGGGGAAAGGAAGGGGCCTGAGGCTTTTAGGAATGGTGGGAGTTGAAGTCCAAAACACCTGGAGGGCCCAAGTTTGCCCACAACTGGTTAACCTTCGAGGCAAGACTTTCATTTGTAAATAGATATTGGGATTGTGTAAATGCTTAGAGCATGGAAGGGCTCAGCCATTTGACTAGAGGCAAACTAATTCATTTGAGGTTCTTGTGGGTTTTTTCGGGCTATAGGGCCATGTTCTAGACTGAACTATTGATCACAGCACTCCCATTAAGCATGCAGAGGAATACACGTTCAGAGCCCCCAGAAAAACAAAAGACTCCACATCAACTGGTTGATGTCACAAAATCTTGAGTGAAGGATTACAAAGATACAGGATAACTTGGTTGCAGTATATCAAAAAGTACAATCCAAAAATAGAAAGTAAAAAGGTAACATTCTCCAGCTTTAGAGCATGGGCCTAAAGTGTCCATGTAGCATGCAAAGCTGGGAAATGGATGATGAAGAATAAAGCTAAAGACCAAATCAACACCCAGACATAGGAGCAACTCTCTTTTATAGCCTCCTGAATTCAAAAAACCGCCTATGTGATTTGGGTCATGTCCGCAATGAAGCGGCTCCCCGAACCCCATGCAAATTCTTAAATGAGGGTGTCATAAAACCAGACAAGGCAAGAGAGTTGGGTCACACAGAAAACACAGAGACTGCAGAACCATTTCAATGTGCATGCAAGCTTGTTAGTTTTTCTAACACTTTTTTCTTGCTATAAGAATTAATGTATTAATGGTGTAGGGAGGGGACAGCCAGATGAATGCTGATGCTGCAGTCCTGTAAACACACCTGTGAAAACTCTTTGAAGGTTTGGGTTTCCTTCTTTGCAGAAATGCAAAGATGCTTTCACTCCCTCAGACAGCAGGCATCCTTCCTGCATAAGCTTACAGTCCTGATAAATTCTTTCCTTCCTAATTGATGACACGTATTCTGCCAAATTAATCCTTTAAAGGAGGATTACTTCAAAATAAAGCTCTTGGAAATTAATCTTGCTTCTGTCAACAAAATACTTTGAGAACAGGCTCTGCAGATGCAAGACTTAACATGTTTACGATTTAACAGGAAAGAATGCAGGAAAAAGAAACCTAAACTTTGAAACAGAATTATTGTCATGATGGACACTTGGAAGACATCCAGACAGCTTCATGCCCTGAGATTCTTTGCTTCCCATCCACCCCACCTTGCCAGAAAATGTATCACACAGTGCACCGACTTGGTGTCAGCTGCATCTTTTTTCCAGTGGTTTACACTATCTTCAGAAGTGGAACAAACATTGGTTACAGCAGAAGATTGTGCAAAGGAAAGAGAGCAGGGAAAGAGAGCGGGGAAGATTTCCTCATGAAACACATTTCAACAGAGGCTCATTTTGTTGTTGAAAGCTTTCATGGCCAGAATCACTAAGTTCAATGTATTGTCGAAGGCTTTCATGGCCAGAATCACTGGGTTGTTGTAGGTTTTTTCGGCCTATATGGCCATGTTTTAGACGAGCATGGTCACATAGCCCAAAAAACCTACAACAACCCAATCACTGAGTTGCTGTGAGTTTTCCAGGCTGTATGGCCATGTTCCAGAAGCATTCTCTCCTGACGTTTCACCCACATCTATGGCAGGCATCCTCAGAGGTTGTGATGTCTGGCTCTTCAGCTTAGAACACACCCCAGAGTCGGACACGACTGGACTTAATGTCAAGGGGAAACCTTTACCTTTACCTTTTTAGCCAGAATTTGTTCATTTTCATGGTTTTGTCCTTTCTGTTACAATTGCCCACATGCTTGTGGATTTCAGTGGCTTCTCTGTGTAGTTTGACATGGTGGTTGTTAGAATAATCCAGCATTTCTGTGTTCTGTAATATGTGTCCGGTTTGGTTCATCAAGTGCTCTGGTTGAGTTAGTCTGCAGTGCCTTTCATGTTCCTTGTTCATGTTTGGGCAATTCTGCGTTTGGTGGTCTCTATGTAGATGTGTCCATAGCTGCATGGTATAAGGTAGACTCCTGCAGGGCTGAGAGGATCCCTCTTGTCCTTTGCTGAATGTAGCATTTGTTATATTTTCTTAGTGGGTCTGTAGATTGTTTGCAGGTTGTGTTTCTTCATCAGCTTCCCTATGCGGTCAGGTGTTCCCTTGATGTATGGCAAGAACACTTTTCCTCTGGGTGGATCTTTATCTTTACTCTCGTGACTTGTTCTTGGTCTTGCAGCTCTTCTGATGTCTGTGGTGGAGTATCCCTTGGCCTGTAGA